ATTGTCCCTCCACGGAATGCATTAAAATTGAATTAAAAGACTACTAACTGCCCATTAGTGTGAGATAACAGGACTTGGATGGGGACGTCCATTCAAATAATCATTGTGAAAATCCCCATCCTTACCCAGTTTCCACACAATAATGGGTAGCACCCTGTCCTTTATTCCATAAAATTAATTTTCAAACAAAAACAAGTAAACAAGTCTATGTAATACATGTAGTAGATGGACATTAGAATCTTAACTAGTCTGTTCTATATATATTTGATAAGGTATGTTTTCAAAAAGCAGGTTAAATAAGCAGCCAAATAATTTGTGATATAGATGGCTGGGGACTTATAATTACAGCATACAAACATACACAACATCATTCTACCTTGTTGAATGTTTGCCAGAGTTGCCTGTGGCGATTAATAACAGAACCAACAAATATATTGTGAACCCACTGAATGCACATGAACCCACCTGAACTCACCTGAACCCACCTAAACCCACCTGAACTCACCTGAACTCACTGAACCCACCTAAACTCACTGAACCCACCTAAACTCACTGAACCCACCTAAACTCACTGAACTCACCTGAACCCACCTGAACTCACTGAACCCACCTAAACCCACCTGAATCCGCTGAACCCACCTGAACTCGCTGAACCCACCTGAACTCGCTGAACCCACCTGAACTCGCTGAACCCACCTGAACTCGCTGAACCCACCTGAACTCACTGAACCCACCTGTTTTTAAAGGCAGCAATTGTACCAATGAGAAGAGTTCCAAATACAATTGGAAATCTCCAGTGCTTAAATCTTGAAATATGAACCATAATGTTAAGTAGACAGATAAATTTTCTCAATACCAGAATGATATGTTACCAGCTGAGTTTTCAGTCTGAGTGAACACAAACTCTGAAAAATAAAATACATGATTTTCTGTACATTACATAATGCTAGAAAAACGTGGATGATTTGATTTTTAACTTGAATTTCTTTTTTTATAGTACAATGTCAAAAAGCCATGCTTCTAGATGGGAATAAAGCATTGAAGAAACACTAACTTCTGTAAAATTGACCATCAACATCAAATGCGTATAGGGCATTATTAAGCATGGAAATACTCAAAAAATGCAAGTTTGTCACTATGATGCTTGTTTATTTAGTTTTTATGTTTGATTTCATTCATAGCGTCAGTTCTCACTGTAAACGGAAAATGGACTATTGTTATAATAAATGATGATGTGTATTTTTGGCCAACAAAATAAACAATTTGAAATTATATTATATACCGGGGTATTGTACAATTGAAATAAAAGTACCACATGGATCTCAAATTTGACTGCATCTTTATCACACAGATTACTTATTACAGTTAACACCTTTTGTCATAGACTGAAGAATTGTCAAGTTATTTTCTGTGACTGTCTGTTTGAATTTGCAAAGAGCAATATTGCAGTTCCTGAACTAGTTTTTGAATTATAGTGATAAATTTTCAAATCAAAATGGCTGCCAGAAAAGGATTTAATGGTATGGAGATGTCAGAAGTCATGTTGCCATGGAAACAAGTTAGATACACTCTTTTATTTGCATTTTTTCATTTAATTATGGAATACTACGTTTTCAGCACTTTTTTTCAGCTTTGTTCATTTCACTT